CCGGTTGGTACATTTCTTACAAACATTCAGCCAAAGGCCAGTGAAAGTTTTTATCGATGTTTGCCACCCTTATGGGAGCTATCGTAAAGTCATGGTTTGCCGGAGTTCAATTTAAATCTCCGAACTTCTGAAGCTGAGATATGCTATGAATGTAGGCTTGCATCGCAGGATACAATTTAAAAACGGGTGACCAATTAATAATGAATTAGGTGCTAAATTTTGATTTAATGCTGGGTAAGTTAAAAACAGACATTCTTTCCGAGTGGGACTCATTCAAAAATTCGAGGGGGTTCGCTAGAAAACAGGGGGGGTTCGCTAGAAAAGGGGGGTTCGCCCGAACCATAAAAACCCCCCCTGGCTACGGGCCTGTTATCTGACTGTTTTCAAGAGGGAAAAACCTTAAATTTTGAAGAACTTAAAAAGTCATTTAAAAGACATTTCAGAAGTCAGGAAAGCTCATTTCCCGCATTCTAGAAATCGAAATATTTCCGGGGTAACCCGGACACGCTTTTTCTTCGGAATTCATTGATTCATTAAATCATTTTCAAGAGTGGAAAAAATTGGATTTTGAAGAAATAAAAAGTAATTAAAAGACACCTCAGAAGTCGGGAAAGTTTATTTCCCGCCTTCTAAGAATCAAAATTTTTTCCGGGGGAGTTTTTTATGTTACAATAAGAAAATTAGAATTTTGAAGAACGTCATTAAAACACACTTCCAGTGTCGCGAAAGCTTATTTCCTGCCGTCTAGGAATCAAAGCTGTGAGTAGATGAATTATTATTTTAATGACACATTTTATAGTTGCATATTGCGGCTACCCTAAATATTAAAATTTCTTTTAAAAGACATGCACCTAATTTTTTTTTTTTTGTTACTGAAAACCACCATGCTAGATAGTCAAAATTGAGTTAATGCAAACTCATATTCCTCAAATGTGCTGGGCTTCAAGGGGGCTTCGCCCCCTTCCACCCCCACCAGGGGCTCTGCCACTGGACCTCGCCGGGGGCCCTAGGCGGCCCCCTGGCCCCCAGCCTAAGGCTGCTCTCTTCGCTCGCAGGCTGCGCCCCCCCCCCTTTTCTGGCAAACTGGATCCGCCCCTGATGATAAGATACAGAATAAAGAGTTTTAACTCGCCAAGAGCGAATATTGAGTTGCGTTCATTATTTAGCAATTTTGTGCATTATACATTCGTTTTGCTAAAGTCCAGGGTCCACAGCTCTGGCCGAACCCCTAATCGTCATCCTGACAAGGACAAGTTCCGTTACATTGGTGTCAGAAGCGGGATTTTATTGTAATTCTGTTTTCTTTTTTATTGAGGATTCGTTTAGTAGCTATTTTCTAGAATTTAAGAATTACAGATGAACGTGAACGCTACTATCCAGTCCCTTTCGGACGAGATTGCTAGGCCAGAAAGGGAAAGCTTGGTGGGCTTTAGCCCCAGAGAAGGCTCGTCTATACAGAGTGTACCGGGTGATCGAGAATTTGTACCAGTTGTACCAGAAAAACAGCCTCCCTGTCAAGTGGAAATAGAGTACGAGTTAGTCAGGGACGAGAAAGAAAACATAGGCGACGACGTACCGTAGATAGTGAGATCAAATCATTGGAAGACCAAATGGCCAGGCTTGAACGAGTGCAGCAGATAGCAAACTCTTCCAGTGAAGGCTTGCAGAATGTACCTGTTCAACCGGATTATGTACCAGAAATGGCCGAACGAGTACCAGAATCGCTGCCTACCTCATTCCCATGTACGAGTAAGAAGCCTAGGCCTAGCCATGAGCAGGGGGAAAAAGATAAGAAGTCTCAGGACGAGTTTATTGCGAGTTGGCCTGCTACAGCAGCAGCAGGACGTGCAGATAGCATACGAACGAGAGGGCTCGTAATGCCACAAACCGGTGAACCACTGGCGAGTAAGAGGCTAGGTTTTATGCCTAGTGGACCCAGTTGGGGTAGAGAAAAGGGTGCTAGTGAGCCAGCTTTTCAGTGGTCGGAACTCCCAAGTGTTTGTGAACCAGTACTTTCTAAAGAAGACAAGACCGTGAAGGGACTATCCCCTCCATGGCCGTTGGTGCGAGAGAACGCGTTTTGTGGAGAACCAGAATGTTTACGTAAATTTGGGCCACAAATGCACCGTAAACCAGTAGTGTACCCAGATAAGTACGAAGGAAAGGTACCCTGGCGAAAGTACCGAGTACATTTTGAGTCATGTAGGGCAGCAAATGGTTGGAACGATGGAGAAGCTGCTATGGCGATTAGTGTCCTGTCCAGCACCGGTCAAATTGTGTTCCAGGGGTGACCCTGTACAGGTACTGTATGTGAACTTATTAGTGGATACAGGAGCTACACATACTTTGGTACCGGCATCCTTATACGATAGAATACCTAGACAAGGAGACCACCGCTAGACACCAGTTGCACTTCGATGCAGCAAGCGGATGGTGGGGCACTCAAAGTGCATGGTTGTGCCGTGTTGGAGATACGGGTAGGGCATACGGCCCGGCTGAGTTGAGTGCTGGTAGCAGAAATTAATTCTCCTGGGATATTAGGCATGGAATTCATAGGAGCAGTCCTTGACTTGCAATGCTTAGAGATACGGGTCAAGAATGAGAGTATCCATGGTGGTCAGTACGGGAGTTATTTTTATCCCGGAGTGTTTGTTAGTGAGCGGGTGGAGTTCCTACCAGGACATGAACACATTGTTTAAGGGCAGGTACGCTGTACGACAAGGCCAAAGTGTGAGTTTATGGTGGAGCCATTGGACCGGAGTGAATTAGCTGACAATGGATTAGTGGTTACCCGAGTATTAATCATGGCTGATGCAGAAACTATTCCACTGCGGGTGTACAACCCAGGTAAGGTTGCACGTGTGCTGCAGGCTGGAACGAAGATTGGAGTGCTTACGCCGGTAAAAGAAGTAAGGGAAAACCAGGATTTTGGAGAAAGTGGACGAGAAGCCGGACGGATCCCAGAACACTTGGTAGACCTTTATGAAAAAAATGTGGCAGCGGCACCAGAATATCGGGACGAGATAGCCAAATTATTTCGGAGGTACCAACATGTTTTTTCTACCAGTAATGCAGACCTATGTCAAACAGACTTAGTTAAGCACCAGATAAATACGGGAAACGCATCACCAATACGAGAAGTACCCCGGCAACATCCTGTAAAATACCAGGGGGAAATTAGGGAACAAGTAGCAGATTTATTAAGCAGGAGTGTGATCGAACCTACCGAAAGCCCATTGGCGGCTAACATCGTATTGGTCGCCCAGAAGGATGGGACAAAGCGCTTTTGCGTGGACTACCGTGAAGGACGCTTATCCAATTCCCCGTATAGATGATTCTTTGGATACGCTTGCGGGGGCTTGCTGCTTCTCCATCCTAGACCTCGCATCCGGCTATTGGCAGGTTGAGTTGGATGAAATTGCTAAGAAGAAGGCAGCATTTGTGGTGAGGGGTGGGCATTACAGTTGGAGAGTTATGCCCTTTGGCTTATGTAATGCCCCTCGACATTTTAACGATTGATGGAACGAGTGTTAGCTGGTCTCCAGTGGGAAACGCCATTAGTCTACCTAGATGATGTGATAATTTATGCTACGAGTGTACCAGAGGCGATAGAGCGGCTGGGGGTAGTCCTCAACCGATTCGAACAGGCAGGACTTAATCTGAAGCCTGAAAAGTGCTCTCTTTTCCAGCCAGATGGTCTGTACCTAGGGCACATAGTCTTGAAGGAGGGGATACATACAGACCTAGAGAAAGCTGTGGGAGAGCGGCCACGGCCACAAACGGTGCGAGATGTTAGAAGCTTTCTAGAGTTGGCCTCATACTACCGCAGATTTGTGGAGGGATTCTTAAGCATCGCTAGCCCGTTGTACCGGTTGAAACAGAAAGCGAGGCCGTTTGAGTGGAACGCAGAACAGGAAAATGCATTTGAGGAATTGAAGAAGCGGCTACAAGAGGCCCCTATCCTGGCCTATCCGCGTCCCGAAGGGGCGTTCATTTTGGACAGTGACGCCAGTAATATAGGTATAGGGGGTGCCTCTCCCAAATGCAATGTGGAGAAGAACATGTCATTGCCTATGCTAGCAGAACCCTAGCGAATGCCGAGAAAAATTATTGTGTTACGAGGAAGAGCTGCTTGCAGCCGTGGTCTATTTAAAACATTTCAGGCAGTACCTGTACGGAAGGCATGTGACCGTGAGGACTGATCATGCGTCTTTAAAATGGCTTCTCAACTTTAAAAATCCGGAGGGGCAACTTGCCCGGTGGCTGGAAGTCATTGCAGAATATGACATGGGTATTCAACATAGACCTAGCAGAAATTATGGGAATGCAGATAGTTTGTCCCGTCGCCCATGTAAGCAGTGTGGACGAGAGGAAGAAGCACCTGCCCGGTGTTACAGCGAAGAGTGCAGAACGAGTTTCCGTAGTAAGAGTAGTACCAGACATTACCCTGGCTGAAATTGGGACGAAACAACGAGAGGACGAGACTATGCACTGAGTCCGGGGGTGACCGACCGGAGTGGGAGACAGTTGAACCAAAGTGTCGTGCCTATTGGGTACAGTGGGAGGCTCTGCAGTTACGTGTCGGTGGAGTCGGACGATGGACAAGAGGTTACCTGGAAGTTGGTAGTGCCTACATCTTTACGGGAAGGGATCTTGGACGAGGTGCATGGCCTAGGTGTATATAAGACTGCAGAGAGGTTAAGAAAGCGTTATTACTGGCCACGAATGATGGGGGAAGTGAGAGCCTGGATCCGTAAGTGTAAAAAATGTGAAAGTCACCACCTCGTAAGCGAGGGGCACCCCTGCAGCATTGGCCTGTTTCTGGCCCACTTGAACGAGTTGCGATGGACATATTGGGTCCGTTTCCTGAATCTCATCATGGGAAGAAATATGTCTTAGTAGTAGGAGATTATTTCACCAAGTGGATGGAAGCATATACGATACCTGACCAGACGACAGGTACAGTGGCGGAAAAGTTTGTGAACGAGTTTGTGCTCTGATTTGAGGTCCCACAGCAGTTACATACGGACCAAGGCCGTAATTTCGAGTCGCAAGTGCTAGTCAAAAATATGCAAATTACTTGGCATCTATAAGACCCGTAAAACTCCCTACAGCCCTAAGAGCGACGGAATGGTGGAAAGGTTTAACCGCATCTTAGTAAACATCCTTGCTGTATCCCTAGAACCAGTAGAACAACAACGTGATTGGGATGAATGGGTACCCTACGCAACCTTTGCCTACAGAAGCACTGCCCAAGGGTCGACTGGGAAAACTCCCAATATGCTAATAATGGGAAGAGATGTTAGGTTGCCAGTCGATCTTCAGTATGAAGAGATGCCCCCAGAGGAACCTGACAGAAATCGAGCTACTGATTTGAAACTAAAATTGCAACGGGCCGCTGAACGAGCAAGGACCATGTTGAAACGCAGTGCCAGAAGGCAAAAGCGACTCTACGACAGGGTGGCACAGGAACCAGGATTGAGGGTGGGGCAGTTTGTTTGGAGGTTCGATGAAACAAAGAAAAGGGGTATGTCTCCTAAGTTGGAATGCAGGTGGAAAGGACCGTGGCGGATAGTGCAGAAACTAACCGAAGTTACGTTTCGGAATAAAAGAAGTCCAAGTGGCCGTGGAAAGGTGGTTCACTGCGACCATCTTAAGCCATATGTTGGTGAGATTCCTGAAGGGTGGCCTGATGAACCGGAGCCCGAAGCCATGGAGGAACCTGTGCCCTTGCCAACAGCGGAACCAGAGGAGGCCGTACTGGAAACAGAAGCGGAACACGAACCAGATCTTGGAAACATAAGCGACATTGTGCCCTTGCCGGAGGAAGAACCAGAAAATGAGCCTGCACCAGTTCTAGTACCTGAAACACCACTGGGACCTAGTCCAAGGCGCAACCCTCAGCGTGTCCGAAGACAACCGCTTCGGTACCGGGATTATGTTGGTTCTGTTAATCATGAGTCTTTCTTTTTACCTGCAGATCACGGAACGAGGTGCAGGAGGATGGAGATGCGGCACATAGGCGAGGCGGTAACCGATGTTCTTTTTGTGGTGGAACATTCAAAACAGAACAGAGCCTTCAAGGGCACATCCGGAGAAATCACCAGAGGCATAATCGGACCTCCAAGAGGAGGCACACCCGAGAGGTGCGGAGGAGCCACTCTGGGGAAAACAGAGAAACTGAACGGGAGGTGCGGAGGATCCGTTCCAGGGAATGGAGAGCAAGAAATCGCTGAAGCCAATCCTCAGAGAGAAAGGCTACCAGTCGAGAAGAGTGGCGTGCAAGATTCACAGAGAAGCAAGAGCATATGAGTGACCATGGAATCCAAAACTTCGACATCCTTGAAGTCTCTCCTGGGAGCCAATCTCTGGTTGAGGAAGTTCTTGGGGAGCCCGTTGCACCCAAGGTTCGACGAATAAGCGGAGGGAAACCAACTCTTCTATCCCAAGCTGAAAGAGAGGACCTCATACAGGAAGGGCAAGGTGGCCTGCGGCCACTAGAGTGTTCTATAGCCAACAGGGTTGTGGAAGTGGTAGATGCCTTTGATACTGAATTTTACGACGAAGATAGAAAGTTAGTGCAGAGAGACCGCCAAAGGCGGGTTTACCGGGTTGTGTAGGCATCGAGCTAAATGACCACATGGGGCTCTTAAGACCCCCATGTGTTTTTCCCAGGGGCATAGTAGACCCCCTAGGTAGGATTCGTTTTAGGCCTGATACTTTTTGTTGTTTATGATGATTTATAATGATTTCTTTCATTTGCTCTTATGATTCCGTTATCTTCTCATTGTTGTTAGATCCCCCGGATTCAAGGGACGAATCCGTCTGGGAGGGGGGCTATGTAAAAGAATTAGGGAATTTCCCTCGAGGTGGGAATGGATTAGCCCAAACTTATGTGACCAATTGGAGTTATTCTCCATTGTCCTACTGTTGCTTGCAGATTATGCAAATCAGGTAGATATATGTTGGGATGGTTTGCGGCAGCAAGCAATGGGCTGCTGGGGATTTAACTGGGACGGACTGACCTGTTAGTTGGGAAATAAATCAGTCTGCTAACACTTGTGGTATTCCATTAGGCCTGAGGATAAATAGCCAAATGAGGGGTGAGTTCTAATGTTTGTAATTTCATCCAGATAAAATACAGAATAAAGAGTTTTAAATCGCCAAGAGCGAATATTGAGTTGCGTTCATTAATTAGCTATCTTGTGCATTATACATTCGCTTTGCTGAAGTCCAGGGTCCACAGCTCTGGTCGAACCCCTAATCGTCATCCTAGCAAGGACAAGTTCCGTT